AATCTAAGTATTATAACAAGTATGTGGGGAGTATTTGGGTGTTATAACTAATTTAGAGACAATTTAACATCAGCTGTAGGATGTGTACAGATTAGATGCAAATACTGTGCAATTCTCTATATGCTGATTAAGAAGCCAGAGTTTATTAGCCACAAGGGTTCTAGAGCCAGCGGCCTAGATACCACGGGATGCTAATACATACGCTAGCATGTAGAGTGAGAACGAGCTGGTCTTTTACTTCTGATTATTGATAGTTTTCTAAATAGTTTATAGAGTAAGACTATATTTGGTCACATTAATATCCCTAATACTTCCATCATAAATTTTTAATTGTGATGATACTTTAATTTTGTTTTCAAGGTCTCACTATACAGCCATAGCTAGCCTGTAACTTGCTATGTAGACAGGCTGACCTCTAACTCGCTGGGATATGCCTACTTCTGCCTCCAGAGTTCTGGAACTCACTTTAGCTCTTCTGAAAATAAATCTTCCATTTGGTGAGGGGTGATCTGGAAAAAGACCTGATTAAAGACACTGGTTCCAGCAGTAATGTACCATATACCCTTACCTCAGGTGGTTTTCTAGAACTGAGAAAAAGTGGCACAAAGCTCTCGAATGATCATGGACATATCTTCCCTCTAAGACAGTGCGCCCCCCCCCAAGAAACCCCTCAAACAAGACAGCAGGGAATGAAACCTGTGTGATAGAATATCTGCCCCTAAATATTGCCTATTCACTGCCTAAAATAAAAAAAGGCAAATTAATGTAGAAGGTAGAAATAAGTAGTCGGCCTTTCAGTGGAGAGCCAACTTGCTTCTAAGTGTCTTGATATGTAGAAGAGAGATATGGCTGAAAGCAAGGAGAAGTGTCACTACACAAACTGCTGCTGCTGCTGCTGAAAATAGGAAGAGAACATTCTGGGAGATGAGAAAATCGAGGAAAATGAGCGCACTGTACAATCACCCAAGAGAATGCAGACCCGCCAATACTCTGATTTAGCTCACTGGGGCAAATTCTAGCCTCCCATGAGCAACTTTTGATGAAGAAACTGATGGTTGGTTAATTAGCAGAGATGATGTTTCTGAAAGACAGTTTCCCTCCTCTGAAAGATAAAAAGTAGAATAAAAGCCCCTCTGGGAATGAACAAAAGAAAGAAAGGGTATTAAACTGTGAAATATCACCACACTTGCTGTAGGCATCTTATTTCAGAATTTAAACTTGTTGAACAATTAGTTACATGATTGCAGAGTGGTACAGACAGGGGCAGGGGATGTAACTTAGCTGAGTGTTCATATTTCTATAGATCTTACAGGGTAAATTTATTTGCCCTACTCTTTCTTAGCACCATAGAATAACAAATATTGATAAATTGAATGTTGAACCAGTTTATGTCATGTGCATAATATTGCTATTCTCAGTCTTTAAATCATTTCACTAATCCACTGGCTTACTAACATATTGTGAAATGGCTGTCTCTCTGCTAGTTCATTCCATACCTTGAATCAGAGCACAACACGTACAAAGAAATTTTCTAAGTGAATTTCTAATTTACAGATTCTACGCCACAAACCCTCAGGCTCTCTGACATCAGCCTTCATAAATCTGTCCATCTACAGCATAAAATTTATTTATGTTTTAACAGGAAAAGTTCTTTGAGGCGATAGCTGGAGTTTTTAATTCCTTTTTAAAAATTAAACAAAAGAATTCCGGTGTCAGGACTTGGTGGTACATGCCTTTAATCCCGGGGGCTTAAGGAGCAGAGGTAGGAGTATGTCTGTGAGTTCAAGGCCAGTCTGGTCTATGTCTTGAGGTTGAAGCCATCTAAGGAAACACAGAGTCTGTCTCAAAAAAAAAAAAAAAAAGCAAAGCAAACAATAAAGTCAGTCACCAAATGTGCTTTTGCTGAGATACTGTATTGTCTGCTTGAAACAGAAACTTTCATTGTGAACATGTAAAGATGGGAGAAACCCAATCCATCTCCTAAGATACAGGGACTCAAAATCCAAGAAAGCTTTTCAAGTGTGCTGGAGAGACACACCCGGCCCAGTTCGATATAATTCGGAAGACCACACATCTGTCACATTCTGTTCTGAGAATCAACTTTCTCCGCACTGTCTATTACATGCAAACACTGATAGCCATCAGACTACGAAATATGGCTGTAAAAAAAAATCTAGCAAAAAGAACTGGAAATATATCTAAATGAGTAAATGTTCGTTTTGGCCATGCTGGATAACCAGGTTTGTTCCCAGAACCCACATGCTGAAAAAATAATAATAAAAGTTAAAACTCTACACTGGTTAATAGCGATCAGGGTAAATGTTATTAATACTTTCATAGATGTGAAAACATCTCCAAATTCTAGCTTATTACATGTCACGACAATCTAAATAGTATGTGCACAGAAACTGGAATGTTTCTTGATGTGTGCCAAGTCTATGGCACTCCTAGCTTCATTAATATTTTCTTTGCTTGATAACTGTCTATCCGTTATTGGTTAGACAGTTATTGGTTATTGGTTGTTAAACAACCAAAAGATTTCCATGTTCCCAGGCCTCATGAACTCTCTTCTCTACTGTGACTTTTCAGCATAGACCTCTCTGGTGTCCTCACAATGCCTGCTTCTCCCACGCCCTTTGTTTCTCCTCTCCTCTTGACTGAGTTGATTTTGCTTATTGTACTTTACAAAGATGGTGACTGAGAACCACTGCTCGCAACATGCTGTTTTTAAATGAGCACGCAAATCTTCAACAAGAGATTCTCAGAACATGAAAAGAAACTGTGATTTGTTGCATTGTGCAATTTCCCTGTAAACGCCCAGCTCCCAATCTGAAATCGGGAGTGGAATAACTTCAGATTGGGCAAGAGATTAACATGGTTTATATTCCCAGCGAGTGGCTGGGCCTCAATTATACCACAATGACACTTCCAAAGCATATTCATACTTTTGCCCAGTTAATAAAGTGACTGTGTATTATTTCATTTCATTTGGTGGCTGTGAATCATTACTGTTATATCTTAGATACCTCTAGAGATTATGACATTCAGAGAGAAAAATGGGGTTTTATTTCATTAATTAATTTATTTATTCACTCTTCATCTGATCACAGAACCCCCTCCCTCCTCTCTCCTTTCAGTTCTGTGCTCACAGCCCTTCCCTGCTTCCCCCTCCTCTTCATAGAAGGGAGGTCCCACATGGGTACCTGTGTGCCCTGGCATATCAAGTCACACTAGGACTAAGCACATAATCTCCCATTGAGGCCAGACAAGGCAGCTCAGCTAGGAAAAAGGAATCCAAAGGCAGGCAACAGAGTCAGAGACAGCCCAGCTCCAATTGTTAGGGGACCCACATGAAGATCAAACTGCACATCTGCTACTGTGTAGGAGGCCTAGGTCCCGCCCATACTTGCTCTTTGGTTGCTTGTTCAGTCCTGTCAGCCCCAATGGCCCAGGTTACTTTACTCTCCTTACGGTGTCTTTGACGCCTCCTGCTCCCTCAATCCTTTCCCCACTCTTACACAGAACCCCCCAAGCTCTGCCTAATGTCTGACTGAGGGTCTCTTTGTCTGTTTCCATCAGCTGCTGGATGAAACCTCTCAGAAGACAGTTATGCTAAGCTCCTGTCTGCAAGCACAGCTAATAGTGTCGAGTTGGCTCTCTTCCATATGTTGGATCTCAATTTCCTCAGTCTCTGCTGCATCTTTATCCCTGCACATCTTTTAAGCAGGACAAATTTGGGGTCAAAGGTTTTGAGGGTTGGTTTTTGTCCCACTCCCTCCACTGGAAGTCCTGCCTGGCTATCAGAGGTGGCTACTTCAGGCTCCGTATCCCTGGCTGCTAAGTGTCTCAGCGAGGATCATCCCCACAGATTCCCTGAAGCCTCTCTCGTCCCAGGTCTCTGGCTTGGGTTATTTTATTTTTTTTTTAGCGTACTTTCTATTGTTGCTACAGTTGTTGATTTTAAACACAGACAAATCTCAACTTCACAATAAGCACAGTTGTCACAGAAGTCCTGTGCCTTTTTCCTGATACAATCCTGCCCCTACTTTTTGTTTGTCCATTACATATTTTAAGATAGAACCATACTATAGAGCACATACTATAGTAAACCATACTCTAGGTTTACATCAAATTTTCAACCCTCCAGCTTCAACTTCGTAAATGATAGAAATACAGGTGTATGCTACCATACCAACTTCTGACTATTTTTTGATGGCTTTTTTTTTCTGTCCTTTCATTTCAACCCATCTCAATCCCATTGTTTAAGTTCTTAGAAAATAAATGCTAATAGAGATAGAGCATCTTGAATACAGACAGCCAATTTCTAATAATTACTATTAATTGAGCTGCCTTCATTATGTTTTTTTTCTCATGTTTTAAAGGGGGGAGTAACCATGCATTATCTGAGAGCAGAAAAACAAGTTTTTCTGTGTTTTAAAGGTTCACTCTAAAGGTTTCTGTGATACGTGAGAGTTTTAAAATAGGGTTTCTGTTTCAGAATTGCCTGTGGCTGCTCTTCAGGGTTGCTTTATTCCGAGCCTATCCGTCCTATTTGAACATAAAAATAGTGCATATTTATAACTGTGATGGGCCAATAAATAAAATGATGCTTCCTTCAGGGGAAGGTTCCTGGGAACTAATTAGAGTCAGAAGCAGAGATAAAGAGGAGATTGAAAATCTGTTTCGGCATCTTCCGTTGTTCTGCTGTTCTGTACTTGGGCACATTTGTGTATGCCAGAGCTGGTGACAACACGTTTCACGGCTACGATGCACCTGCGGTGTCCTTGTGGCGGCGCTGTGGCGGTGTCCTTGTGGCGGCGCT